GCTGTGTTCATCCAGCTCTACACCTTGTTATCTCAGATTCTCCAGCATCTGCAGTTCCTACTATCTCTGATGCAATTTTTGCACTTCTCTTTTTAAGGAATGAAGAACAAATAAACACATGACATAACAACAATTTCAACAGCAAAGTTGTTTGAAGAACACTGTAATTGGAAATCTTATTCATAGCCTTTGCAACAAGGGGTTGTTAGTCCAGTGACAACGGTTCTGCTATCATTCATGTAAATCTTTTTTATTCATTCATGGATATGGGCACCACTGGCTGTACCAGTATTTATTGCCCATCCCTAATTGCCCAGAGGGTGGTTAAGAGTCAATCACATCGCTGTGGGTCTGGAGTCACATGTAAGCCAGACCAGTTAAGGATGGCAGATATCTTTCCTTAAAGGAGAATAGTGTACCAGATGGTGTTTTTTTTCCCCCAACAATTGGCAATGGTTTCGTGGTCATCATCGGATTGAATTCCAGATTATTATTGAATTCAAATTCCACCATCTGCCATGACAGGATTCGAACCCAGGTCCCCAGAACATTACCTGAGTCTCTGGATTAATAGTATAGCAATAATACCACTGGATCATGGCTTACCCCCAGTGACACTTACAATGACTGATTCCGCTCTTCAGTTTCAATTAAATCTCATCCACGTAGTTCCCAGGTTATCTATCAGCATGCTCTCATAATGCAAGTCCAGAATTCCTGCTTCATGCCCTCTGCTTGACAGTGTCACACCTGAATGAACTTAATGAAAACGAGGTTCTATTCTTATACTGTGCTGAAATATGTGGGCCATGTTTTTTGGTAATTTTTGGGCCTTTTAGTCTTCATCTTGATGCTGCAATACTTTGAGTATAATACAATAAGTTGTTTTCTCAAAACCTGGGTGTTTTCATGCTTTGGCCTTACATTTCCAAACCTTCAATTTGTTCATATATAGAAATGATTATTATTTCCTTTCGTCACCCATTTATTCTTCAACTAAAAGCTCTGCAAGTAGGGAATACTACAACATTTTAAAATGATAGAAAAAAATCAATGTGTAATTCATGATGCATCAATTTCCTATTGGATTATTTTCAATTTGTTCAATTCAGCTCCATTTTTCTTGGATTACTTAATATTTTAGTTATCTCTAGGATACTGTGTGATTTGTATGAATGGAACAACTATTTGATGTCTTTTCATCACATACTATACACTGCCACCACAAAACACATCTTGGTCTCCCTTGTCAGCATTCAGATGGACAGTCTCCTGTATGACACCCTTGTCCACTCCTCTATCATCCTGAACACCTTATCCCCCTCCCATGGCATCTTCCAATTGCAATCATAAGAGTTGTAACATTTGCCATGTTATCTTGTTCCCACTGCAATTTCAATCTGGACTATTATGTTCACTGCCCACATTATGGTTATCTCGACATTAGAAAGATCAGCCTCAAATTGGTCGTCGCTTTGCAGAACATTTCCACTCAGGCTGCAAGCATGACCCCACCACTTCAGTCGCTTCCCATTTCGGTATACCGTCTTGCCCTCGTGCTCCTGTTTCTGTCCTGGCCCAGCTGCAGTTTCGCAGGGAAGTCCACACAAGCTGGAGGAATAGCATGTCATTTTCTGCATGGGTACTTTACAGTCTTATAGATTCAACCTTGAGTTGCATAACTTCAAAGTATGAACTTTGTCCTCAATTTTGATTTCCCACCCCACCAGTGTTTTGTCTTTATGGTGCTGCTTTCAGCAGAGCTAACCTATATTCCATTATTAACACCTATTCTGGATCCATCTAGCTTCTCTATAACCATTACCGTTCGCTTTGTCTTTTAATCTGTGAAACCAATGGTATCTAATCTCCCTCACCCTCTAATCTTTCCCTTCTGTTCATCTTGCTCTGCTCCATGTTTTCCTATAAAACCCATTACTTTTTTACTTCAAGAATAGTCATATTGGATTCAAAATGCTAAGTCTGTCTCTGTTTCCAGCTGAATGTGAAATAAAGTAGCATGTTTGTATTAGGTAGCAGCTCCTCAAAGTGTTTGTTTGGTACACTTGCAGAAAATTTACAGTGAGTTCTTACAAAAGAAATCGCTGTTACTGTTAACATCCAAAATTTTGAGCAATAATGCTCAACATTGCTTTCACCGAAAGATTTAGATGTTACCTGAATTTTAACATTATTGTTATATATCAGTCATAAAATTATATTAAAAAAAACATAAAATACTGGATAGCTTGAGAGATTCAATATTACCTTGTCAGTATTACACTATCACCTCGATTGATTCTTGGTGAAACATTTGCTAACGTCAATTAAATGCTAGACAGAGGAATATGTGGAAAAGACTGCACAACATTGTTAGCAATCTCTGCACAGAATGATCCAATATCTTTCTCACTGAAGAAGAATAAGCAATGATAATCGGTGCGAGCACAATAAATAGGGAAATAAGTAATGGCAGGCTTTAAAAAGGCCAACAAAAATAACATCTTAAATTCGTCTTGCCTTTACTTGTTCCTTCACAGGTTGTGTATGCAGGTCAGCATTTTTGGCTCATTCCTAATTCCTCTTGAGAAGTGGTGATGAGCTGCTTTCTTGAACCGTTACCATCTGTGTGCTCCAGACACAACCGTCAGCCCCATTAGGGAGAGAGGGCCAGGATTTTGACCCAGTGACAATGAATGAAAGTCAATATATTTCCAAGTTAGGGTGGTGTGTCACTTGGAGGGGACTTCGCAGGGGATGGGGTTTCTAACCCTGACACTTGTCCTCGATGTTCATAGTTGTGGGTTTGGAAGGTGAACTTGAAGGAGTGTTAGTGAGTTGTTGAAGCGTGGCTTGTAAATGGTACGCACTACTATCACTGTGAATCAGTGGTTGGGCAGTGAGCATTGAAGGTGGTGGAATGC